TCGCTGCTCAGCATTCGTTCCTCTGCTTGCTGCTCGGCCACTGCGTTCTGTCGCTGGGCCGCATTTTGAGCGAAGTTTCTCTCTCTGCTGTGGCGTGCCGTTTCGGATCGAACGTATGCGTCACTCTCTCCCGTAGTTCTGTCGCTGGGCTGCATTTTGAGCGAAGTCGCTCTCTCTGTTGTGGTGCGTCGTTTCGGACCGTGACGTATGTGTTGCTCTCTCCCGTAGATCATGGCCTGCTGTGCTCGTTTGTCAAGTGTGACGCCACTTGTTCTTCGCTGTGGCTGTGTGGGTGTGTGTGGGGCGGTCAGAGATGACGAGTACGGTGACTGTTTCCTGACCACGGTTTGCCCTATGAATTTACGATGTTTTTCCCCTACGCGGCTTTCGCCTCTATTCTCCACTATGTACAGCTCTTATGATTAGGTGAAACAAATGAAAAGACTTAATGCTAGGGTGAATATGAAATAACTTACGAACTATGAAAAAATAATAATAAATGAAAAATGAGGTTCTACCTCCCTCTTTTTACATATGTACATGCCCCTTGTCAGGGCACTCCCTTACAACTCGGTAGCCATCATCGAGGACTACTTCAGAGGGCGGACGCTGCTATACAGCACCAATAGCGGTACGATGCAGTTCCAGGTGACATGCGGCGTTCTTCAAGGCTCGGTCCTGGGACTAACCCTGTGGAACGTTATGTACGACGCCATCCTTAAGCTTCAACTACCAACTTCCAGCAAAAAGGCAGCCGACGTAGGAAGAGCACTCTCGCGCACGATGCTGAACTCGAGGGGACTCAAGCAAGGCCGCCGACTTCTTCTTCAGTCTGTCCTTAAATCGGTAATAATGTACGCAGCACCAAACTGGGCAGAGGCGGCGAGGACATAGTCCTACAGGAGAGGGCTAGACGCAACTCACCGACTAGCAGCTCTGCGAGTCTGCTGCGGTTTCCGAACTATTTCGGATGACGCGGCCTTGGTCATAGCAGGAATGCTCCCAGTGGCGGACCTCACCGAGGAAGCAAAGTAAATCTTCTTAGAGCTCGTCGCAGCACCACAGAATAGATCTCCGGCACTACGGAAACGAATAAAGTCGGCAGCGAGGGAAAGGAGCTTAAGCAGATGGCAGGAACGATATCAGCGAAGGGCAGATGGAAATTCCGCCTTATACCGGACATCGCTACGTGGGTAAACCGGAAGCATGGAGAATTTAATTTTTGGCTAACCCAGCTACTAAGTGGACACGGCTGTTTTAGCTACCTTCATCGTTTCGGGCACGACAGCGACGAGTGGCGTCGAAGAAACCGCAGAGCACATCCTTTTCAACTGCGCAAGGTTTGCAGAGCAGCGAAGCGGCATTGGCGGTGACACGCTGAACTCCGAGAACCTGATCATGGTTTCGAGTGAACAGTACTAGTCAATGGTATGCGGATTCGCGTCAGAGGTTCTGCGGAAGCTGAGAGAGCTGGAGCGGAGTCGCAACGGCATAGATGGAGGGGTCTAAGGTGACTTAGACCTTAAAAAGACATTAAAAATGGACATTAAAAATGGAGGGAAAAAAGTGTAAGCCAGCTAATAAAAATGCAATAATGAAGGCAAATTAAATTGAATTAAGGCAGTGGAATGAAAACATATTTAGGGGTGCCACAGAAATCACTAGTGAAATGGGAAACCGCGCAGAGGATTTCCGCTTAAAAATTTCCGCCGTGCCACAGAATTCCGAGCGATTTCATTTTTCTTAGCATTGTCACAAACCAAATTCGAAATAAGGCTAGGGCTGACATCTTTCAAGATTCAATTCGAATAGGGTTCATTTTACAGTTTGATTGATTTTATCATATCAAAACAATTGGTTTTTATATTTTTCTTTTATGGTATAAAATATTTGATTTTTCAAAGCTGTACTTTTATAATTTCAAACCAAAAAAACATCCCATATCGTGCGAGTTAAACAAAACAATATACTCGGCAACTCTAGCAGTTGTCTGGCAACTCTCCGGCCATGGCAGCAATCAGCTGTTCAAAAAAAACAGACATCTGAATTTTACGGTAAACTTAATTAAAATGCTGTTGACCATCGAAGAACTACGGAGGCAACCTATTAGCATTCAAACCTTGCAGCGCAGGCTTCTCAGATGCGCATCGGACTCGTTTTCACGCTCAGACGATACGTATGTGGTTTTTGTGATTGTCTTCTCAAACTACTGCTAATTTAGTTCATTACAATTACCAGTTTTTGGTATAATGATCGCTGTGCTTCTATTTGTGCTGCCATGGGTCTGCACTTAGCAGAACAGGGGTTTTTGACATAAATGCATTGGCAATAATGTAAAAAAATGGTTTGTTAGTTTTGTTTTGCCATTTTGAAGCGATGCCACCTGGTAGAACTACAAATGACTAAAAATGTTTTCACAATTTGCACACAAAGTATGCACACGTTTGACGTAAAGGAAGTTTTGATGCAATGAGCTTTTTTTTGTAATGCTTAATTAAAGAACAACAGAATGATTTCAATATAATTAATATTAAATATCTTGCTCCGAATTCGGCTTACAAAAGTTGGCATTACTGTATTAACTTCGAAAGTCCGAATCGCCCTAGGAGGCCACCTCGGACTGCAGCGGATTGAACGCGAAATCGTTAGGTGGAAAGTTCAGTCAGCGGATTGGATAGTGATTACTAAAATGCTTATTTTATTAACTTAACATGTATAATGTTAAATTATTTGGATGAGGGTTAATCACCAATTGAACAACCTTTATGGGAAAGTAAGGTTCGAATCGTTTAAAGTGTGTTTTATGGGTGTATTTAATCAAATCGCTGGATAAATTGTGAGCGATTTTGATTCCGCTGAAAAATCGGTGTGTGGCACCGCGGAATGGAATTGAGGTGATTTTCCAGCGGAAGTGATTTCTGTGGCACCCCTGATTATATGGCTATTATTATTTATTAATTCTATACCTAATTATACTACTATACCTACTAATTTTAATTATTTAAGAGGAGATAAAAATGATTGCATTTCTGTCCCGCAAGATCGGATTTATCCAATATTGCGGGTTGCATTATCGTCCTCCAGCTCCATAAATAAGACATTTCTGCTTGCATACACTTTGCCCAATTTGGTCACACTGGGCACCAAGCGAAATATATAGCACTTTCGGTCGACGGAAAATTTAGCGCGTCTGAGTACTAAGCTTAAATCTTTGCTGATAGGTAGCCTTATGGGAATTGCCTGCAGTCAGATCGAGATATATACGTCCTTGGCTTCCTAGTTGAGCTGGGAGCAGCGCTGCGGCAGTTTTTTGGTGGCTGTGTCTTATTTTGTCTAGAATAGTGCCTCAGTTGTTCGACTGAAAGCCAGTAGACGTGTCTAGAGACGGCTACAAACAGTAATTTTCCATTTTTTCTCACGTTATCTGTCTCTTCGCAGCAAAGTCTAATGTCAAAGCACCAAAGATTCTATAACACAACACCATGTGTAACGACCATACTGCTGAAAAGCACACGAAATTTTAAGCGTGGATTTTCGATGTGGATTTTCGATTTTTCTGTGTGTGCGTTGTGTTGTCCGTGTTTGAGCGCTTGGTTGTGTGAGTGTGTTTTTTCGTATCCGTCAACCTGACATATTGACGACAGTATGTGTGTGTATTTTCTATTCGTCAACATGACATATTGACGACAGTATGTCTCCTAAGTCCTTGGCTCAGCGTACTAAGTGGCTGACTTCAAAGCGAAGTTAAGCGAGTTCAAGCTTCACTCAGTGCAAATTAATTTATTTTTAATTTTATTTTTTGTTTATGTTTTTTATTTTATTTTAACCAACTGTATTTAAAAATCATCTTATTTTCTCAAAATATACCAAAATGACGCTAAAAATCATTTCAACAATGCCTTCCAAATCTTCTTTATTGAATATATTTATTCATTCCATCAATTTTGGGGCCCCTCCTTTTTTCATTTGAAATAACTTATACATTTTTTCTTTGTTTGATTATTTTGTATTTTTTTTTGTTAATTTTCAGTGGCTATTATATTTGGAATTTTGTCTTATTCATGATATTCATTATTAAGTATATTTGATTTTAAAATAAAGATAAACCCAAAAAAAAATCATCATCACCTTTCGCTGAGAATTGAACTTGGCTCAAACTTTCCGCAAGCAAGCAACTTTGACGCTGCACCACCTTCCGTATTTGTTTTCGTAAGCAGTTGAAGTAGCTTAATTTCGTTTTCATCATTAAGATTGTGCAGCTTTGACGAAATACGAAATTTGGATTCAGATTCTGAATTTCAGACTGCAAAAATTGGAGAGCACACACAACCATACACATATGTATGTGTGTGTATGCCCATGGCCAACAACGAAATTCCAAATATAGAATGCATTTTGTTTTGCTGTCATATATTTTTTTCTTCCTCGTGACGCATCTTGTTGTGTTATAGAATCTTTGATAGCACCATAAATAGCCTTTTTACATTGTGTGCGTTTTCTACCGATATCGGAATAAACGCAACGACGCAGACTACGCGTTTACACTGGCAGATACAGGTTATTGCGTTATGAGAATTGAGAACCAAATACCTGATAATCAATAAAATTAAGAAAAAAAACAGGAAAATTAACGAAAGAGAGTTTAATGAGTTTCTAATGATATAAGTTTAAAGTATTTTTTAGGAATTAATGTATACTTTTAACTTTTCCGTTAACTATAAGTTTTTAGCGCCGAAATTTGTTAATAGATCTGCTAGTTTTTGTTTTTGTTGGTTGTGCTGATATGCAGAAAAGTGCAAAATTGTGCTGTAAAGCGTAAAGCGATCGAATATTTCGAATAGACACAACTGCGTCCGAAAAAGGCAACTGTTGGTCACCACTAGGTGACATGCTTAACCTATATACAAATATAGCTGCGTCTCCGGCTAGATGCAAGGAAGCATGACGCAGACCCAGTGTAAACAGCCTATTATTTTGTTTTGTTCTCGAACATGGTTTAGTGGTTGCTGTTAAGAACCACCCTTAAAATACCCTAAACTGGAAAAATCTTAGGACGAAAAAGGACAATATCGAAATATTTTAAAACCATCAAATATAAATGAATACAGGCTATGATTTTTTAAATTTGTAATAAACTTTTGGCAATCTTGAGAAGTTTTACAGAAAACAAAATGTTTAAAAGTAAGCAAGAAGGAAGTCTGGTGTACAAATGTACAGTTCGTTTGCTGGATGATTCTGACGTACTAGAATGTGAATTTCAGGTGAGTTTTAAATTTGAAAATAATATGGATATTGATATATGTAGATATTAAATACCATGTATTGTTTTTATATTGTACCTTTAGTATGTACTGATCATAAATATACCTGGGCTTTATTTTTATACCGGATACTTGAAGAGTTTAGGCCGGGGTGCTCAAAATCAGCTTACGGCGGAGCACTCACCAATACTCACAAACAAAAACACAAATACCAATAAGGGAACAGTGCAAACTCGAAGAAAAGACAACAACCAAATCATAACAAAAGTCGGGTAACACCAATCAGAGAAGAGACAAAACCGGTTTTTGCTGGACGCATCGGATACACACAAAGTTGTTTGCATGTGTTGGGCTTTCGGTATGCTGGTACACAGCACAAGCTGTGTAAGGATACAAGAATTGGTTTCCTATGCTGGGAGAAATTACAAAAACAAAAGCTCCCGAGCAATGGGCCTGGGCACCCCTGGTTTAGGCCCTTAACTTTAGGGATATTTTAGTTTTGTAGTGGAAGTGGATGTACATATGTAACGCCGAGAAGGAAGCGTTGCTGATCCGAAAAGTGTTTATATTTTTTACCAACATCAAAAACTGAGTCGATATAGCTACTAGTGTCCTGCATGAATCCACATGATTAATAAAATCACAGTATACTCACGCCCCTTTAATACTTCGATCATTACGAATCATGTCTTCAGTCAGATTCGAATCACCCTGAATCACTAAAAAACCGAATCCGAGCATTGAGAATTTATATCAGCAAGCTTCGTTGGCATATCTCTGAACTGATTTGAAAAATACCACGGAGAAACCTCCTTTGTATGCGTGGACATGTACAGTATGTATGTGCAACATTATTTCACAGACGGAGCTTCCCTTCATAATTACGAAAAAAACAGCGGATACACAGAACCAAATACTTGCACATTTTATGACTGTACACCTGGCCCTCACTTAACACGAACTCTTTTAATACGAACTCGGTCTTACACGGCTATAAATCAATTATGTCAATTATGCCTTAGTGTGTTTTTGTACGCATGGGGAGCGCGTAGTAAAAGGAAAGCTCTCACGGAGCTGTCAGATGTAATAACACTAGGAAACAAACTTTAATTTTTGTTCCGCAGTGAACCAAAAAAATGTTTCCAATAGATATGGGCCTTACAAATTGTTAAGGAATTTGCTTTTTATACCCGTACTCAAAAAAGAGTTAAGGGGTATATTAGATTTGTGGTAAAAGTGGATGTGTGCAACGCAGAGAAGGAAACGTTTCCGACCCCATAAAGTATATATATTCTTGATCAGCATCAATAGCCGAGTCGATATAGCTATGTCTGCCTGTCCGTCTGTCTGTCTGTCTGTCTCGATGAGCGCCTAGATCTCAGAGACTATAAGAGCTAGGGCAACCAAATTTGGTTTCCAGACTCATGTGATATCACACTGCTACAAGTGCATTTCAAAATTTCGCCCCGCCCCCACAAAGGACGAAAATCTGTGGCAGGCACACAGTAAACAAGAAGGCAATACACAAATTTTCTGTGTTTTTGCTTCGCCCTCGGCCTGAAAATATTTATTTGTGTGTGGGTGTGTGTGTACGTCAACGGTGTGTGCTACGCATACTTACGCATAAGCTCTTTCCTTTGAGTAAGGAAACAACAATTTCGCTTTCAAATACACCCGGCCCTCGCTGAACACGGGGTTATGTTCCTGGAAAACGAGGATTATGGATTCAGTACAAAATAAGGGTTTACGTTCCTAGAATTCAGGTATGTAGGCAAACAAAATTTTGGATTATTCAAATTTGTTTTTAATTAACCAAAATGTTTTTAGTGGCTCTTCTGGTTTAGATTGTTTAGCGGCTTTTAAAGCTTCTTTGTAACGCTGTTTATAAGGTAACAGTATTTTTTCCAACTCCCTTAAGTCGTCTTTCGATGAGTGGATCAGAATTTATAAATCACTAAAACTATTCAGTAAAACCAAAATTACAAGTCCGTTTGGTTTTCTTTGATCCCATTTTGGACGTTGGGCAGAAGCCGATACTAAAGGTTCAGTTAAAAAAAGAAAATAAACAATGAAAAACGAGAATGAACGTGTGAGTCGCTTCTGGGGACGCGACTCTACTTATACCCGCACTCAGTCAGTATATACATTTTTGAGCTTATGATTTTTAAGAATTTTAGAATTAAAAAAAAAAATTTATATATTAAATTTTTTTGCTACATCTGGTATCTACATCTACAACTACAATATACATTCTACATCTCACAAGTAGATTCTAAATGTCCCGTTTAGATTCTACATCTCCTCGGATAGAGGCGCTCGCGTACATAACGAGGCAGAGTGTGCGAGCGAGCGAGAGAATGAGTAGCGAGTCTCTAGCTGGTTGTCGCGGGGGAAGCAATTGAAAATGAATTTCTTCATTCTGGCTATAATTATGATCCGATCTGATTCAGATACGTTACGTTACGTTCCTAGAATTCAGGTATGTAGGCAAACAAAATTTTGGATTATTCAAATTTGTTTTTAATTAACCAAAATGTTTTTAGTGGCTCTTCTGGTTTAGATTGTTTAGCGGCTTTTAAAGCTTCTTTGTAACGCTGTTTATAAGGTAACAGTATTTTTTCCAACTCCCTTAAGTCGTCTTTCGATGAGTGGATCAGAATTTATAAATCACTAAAACTATTCAGTAAAACCAAAATTACAAGTCCGTTTGGTTTTCTTTGATCCCATTTTGGACGTTGGGCAGAAGCCGATACTAAAGGTTCAGTTAAAAAAAGAAAATAAACAATGAAAAACGAGAATGAACGTGTGAGTCGCTTCTGGGGACGTGATTCTACTTATACCCGCACTCAGTCAGTATATACATTTTTGAGCTTATGATTTTTAAGAATTTTAGAATTAAAAAAAAAAATTTATATATTAAATTTTTTTGCTACATCTGGTATCTACATCTACAACTACAATATACATTCTACATCTCACAAGTAGATTCTAAATGTCCCGTTTAGATTCTACATCTCCTCGGATAGAGGCGCTCGCGTACATAACGAGGCAGAGTGTGCGAGCGAGCGAGAGAATGAGTAGCGAGTCTCTAGCTGGTTGTCGCGGGGGAAGCAATTGAAAATGAATTTCTTCATTCTGGCTATAATTATGATCCGATCTGATTCAGATACGTCAATCTGGTAGATATGGGCATTCTCTATCATACTGCGTTTTTAGTTTTATCGTATCTTAAAAATTGTGCCTGCCACAGATTTTCGTTCTTTGCGATGGCGGAAGTTGGTGGGCCGAAATTTTGAAATACTTGTAGCAGTATCACATGAGTCTGGAAACAAACTTTGGTTGATCTAAGATCTAGGCGCTCATCGAGACGGACAGACAGACATGGCTATATCGACTCGGCTATTGATGCTGATCAAGAATATATATACTTTATGGGGTCGAAAACGTTTCCTTCTCTACACACATCCACTTTTACCACAAATACAATATACCCCTTAATTCTTTTTGAGTACGGGTATAAAAAATATAAGACTTATTGATGCATTGACATGAATTTGACACCTTTACCTGGGCAATTGAGCTTGTGACCTTGCTATAAATTATTTTTTTAATCCAGCCTCAAAATTAGTTTGAAAAAATTGCTCAGGGCAACATCAAAAAATGAGTAACAGCAGTAAAATTTGCGCTTAACAGTAGAGGGAGTAAAAAAATTTACATTTGTCGATTCCAGAGCGCCTTGCATTTTTTTTTTGTAGTTTAATTATGTAAATTTATTATAAAGAATTATCACAGACAATAATGTACAATTACTTAACGTACTGTTACTATTGATTATCAACTTTTGTTATGGGTCTGGGACAATTTCTATTTACTATTTTAAGTTAAATGCCGGACAAACGGACGACAACGGAAATTGTGCAACAGGAAATTATATGTTCCTGTAGGCCAAGTCTGACGGATGGAGGCGGTTTAACCTTCGCCTGGTTGTGCTCCTTACCAATCTTCTAGCGAGGACGTTTGGGTGGCTCCTTAGTTTGGTCAGGTATCTTGTGGGTTGCTCGTTAATAATGTCACCGACTAAGGGAACTCCAAAGTCTTTGGCGATGTCTGCCTCCGTTACGGACATACCAGCACCACAGATCTTTTCAAAACGAAACCCCAGGGCACGTTCCTTTCCTAAGCGTGTGTCACTACCACACACTTCTCTGGGCTCACACTGATATTCCACCGACATGCCCAGTTCTCAAACCTTTTAAGGTACCGCTGGAGGTTGTCCGTGGCGCCGTAAACTCAATTGGCCCTTGACAGTACTTCCGTGTCGTCGGCAAATGTGGCAAGTTTCACATCGATTGGCTGGGACGTATTGTCAACGCTATCTTTAGGCATAGGCGTGCGTGAAAAGGCTGTACAGCGTTGGTCCTAGCACGATGCCTTGCGGGCCGCTCTGTGCGAATTAGAACGTTCTGTCCTTTAGGAAGCTTCCAATAATCAGGAAACCATCTGTTTCTTTGGGGTTTTATCTTCGCACAAAATCCGTCTTGCCAAACTCTGTCGAATGCTTGCTGTATGTCCAGTAGAAATCTGCATGAATTATAAAAAACAGACATTCGAATTAACAATGCTCAAAATGAATTGAGTGAACTCGAATGCTATGCCAACAGAGTTTGAGTGTGTGAGTGCGCTGACGTAAAACTCATACACACAACATTGAAACGACAAAGCACTCGTTGAATGAGTGAGAGTGAGGGCAGTTTCCGAATTCATTCTATATTTTTATACCCGTACTCAAAAAAGAGTTAAGGGGTATATTAGATTTGTGGTAAAAGTGGATGTGTGTAACGCAGAGAAGGAAAATTTTCCGACCCCATAAAGTATATATATTCTTGATCAGCATCAATAGCCGAGTCGATATAGCCATGTCTGTCTGTCCGTCCGTCCGTCTGTCCGTCTCGATGAGCGCCTGGATCTCAGAGACTATAAGAGCTAGGGCAACCAAATTT